TTTTCGCTGGCGCAGGTCTCGTCCGACGGGCACTGGCCACAGAACGTCGAGTTCAGCGGCAAGGGACCCTACGGCAGCACCGGCCTTTACGGAAAAGAGGAGGAGGCGCAGTTCCAGCGCATCGACGAAGCCGAATTCCTAGCCGGCGTCCGCAGGAGGCTCCTCTCCATCCAAACCTGATTGTGGATAAAACCACTGATAACGGCCGATTTCACTTCAACTGTAAACTTTTTATTGCGAAACCTATACTTACGAAATTACGACCACATGCATGAGCGACAGGCCTGGAGCCAAAGAGATACCAGGCTGGAGCAGCCACATTGTATTCATGCATTTGGGAAATTCATAACGAGAACATGGCCATGTTCCGAAAAAGCGAATACTGCGTATTGATCACTTGGGATGGCGGGGCGTCTATTGCTTTTTCTCCATCTTGCAGTTTGTTAGCATTTTAGCGTTCAACTTCAAATCAGTATAATAAATCAAGCTTCACACTCATCTGACAATCGTCCCGTCGTCCATCTATGCAAACAGTTTTCGCACATGTTCGACGAAGGAAACTTGCTTCAACTCCAGATCACGAGAATGGCAACAAACGATTGATAAGAAACTTCGCGAAAGCTCCAATTTTGCCAACGGGTTCCACACCTTGGCGATCAAAGACCAACACCCCGCACCTGCAGTCCACGCACCCACACCCTCCCAAAGCAGACAAGCCCAGGTACAGCTTTCCGCGCTTTTTGCTTACACACCGCATGGTCATCCGTTATGTACGCCGGAAGCCAACCTCTTTCTCTATCCGAGCGATGGGAGCTTACCAACCTAGAGTAAGGTCGAGGTCCCGTACACGCCGAACACCGACCGATTGTCTGCTGAATAAGAGGCACGGGAGCGCGGAAGATGTCCGCATCAGCCAAAAGTACTTGCCGGGCCCGGGATGGTGGGTTCCTTTGCCAATTGACTCGCGATGCAGCAGGTTAGCCGGAGGAATGTTACCAACAACGTACCTTCCCCAGCGAAACAGAAAAAAAACGAATTGACAATCTCTTACCAAAGGCTCATGTAATCATCGGAAACGCCTATGACGCTACTGCACCGGGTATATATGTGGGGCGCTAACCGTCGAGCTTTACTTCGATGGGTATAGTGAGGAGCGCTATGAGGGGCAGAATGGCGCAAAGCAGTTGTTTACAGGACAGCTAGGTAGCTAAGCTCGCTCGGTGCGATTGGGCCGGTGGATGATGTAGTAGCCATGGCATGATGTATTGCGAGATAGACACAGTCTATGGGGATCGAAGACCGTCGACAAGGGTTCTGGGTTATCTCATGCACCATGCACATGCCAGCCCCCGGTGGTGCTGGTGCTGGCTGCTGGGTATAAGTAGAAGGTGCGTACCCCACCCCGAAGGTTCTCTTCTTTACTTCTTCACTACATACTCATCTCTCTCTCATCGTCGTACTCTACTCGTTCTTTGTGATACCCCCCAGGAAGTTATTCAAGATGGCTCCCAAGATCGCGATCGTTTACTACTCCATGTACGGCCACATCAAGAAGATGGTATGTTGCGATTGTATTGAGATGGGGAGCTGTTGTTGGTTGCGAAACGGCTCCCCACTCGATTGATACCTGGCAATTGAGAGCTTGTGCTAACAGAGATGGATAGGCCGATGCTGAGTTGGAGGGTATCAAGGAGGCTGGTGGTGACGCCAAGCTCTTCCAGTATGTACTCCCTTCTCCATATCTCGAACACTGGGATCTTCCTGCTGGCTATTGCAATCGCGAAAGCTACATCCCTGTCACTTATCTCACCCAAGAACATGACTAACCCCCTCCCAGAGTCGCCGAGACCCTTCCCCAAGACGTCCTCGACAAGATGTACGCACCTCCCAAGGACGCCTCGATCCCCACTCTCGATGACCCCGCCGTCCTCGAGGAGTTCGACGGAATCCTCTTCGGTATCCCCACCCGCTACGGCAACTTCCCCGCACAATTCAAGACCTTCTGGGACAAGACCGGCAAGCAATGGCAACAAGGTGCCTTCTGGGGCAAATACGCCGGTGTCTTCGTGTCGACCGGTACCCTCGGTGGTGGCCAGGAGACCACTGCTATCACCAGCATGAGCACGCTTGTGCACCACGGTTTCATCTACGTGCCGCTCGGATACAAGACTGCGTTCAGCATGCTTGCTAACCTCGATGAGGTTCACGGTGGTAGCCCTTGGGGCGCTGGTACCTTCTCCGCTGGTGATGGTAGCAGACAGCCCTCTGAGCTTGAGCTTAACATTGCCAAGGCTCAGGGTAAGGCGTTCTACGAGGCGGTTGCTAAGGCCCACCAGTGACTAGATGGCGGAAAGACTGCTGACGATGCTGTGGGTGAGAAGAGCGTTGAGGGAGTAAACGGAGCGGGAGCGGCGACCAACGGTACTACTGCTGCTGCGCCAGCTGCTGCTACATCTGCTCCTGCCGCTGCTTCTTCATCGCAGCCTCAGCAGAAGGGGCCGGAAGAGAAGGATAAGGAGGGTCCGTGTGGATTGCCTGCAAAGTGCGATATCATGTAGACGTTTTCGTTGTTGTTCTTCTTCCGCTCTCTATAGTTCGCTTGTTTAGACATCTGCGCGACGAGATAAATGAAATAAAGTAATACATTCATCAACGCAGCCCTCGTAGCTTGACCTGTGATGATCGAGTTGACCATCCAATCTCTATATTGGATAAAAATACATCTTCTAAGTTCGAACGTGATCGCCTAGTTGTGGAAATTGATATTTTACTTACGTTGCACAGTCGGGGAGGGAAATTGGAAGTTGAGAGCACTTGACGCAGAATACTCATTCCCTAGTTCCCACAAAAACGTGAGTAGACGCACAAGACCATCATATCAATATACCAACTCGTGGTCACCCGTCACGATCACCCATTACCATAACTGAGAGAATATGCCAAGTCTATAAACAAAAAAAAAGATCAATGGGGTATCTAATCAAACAAGCAAACCACACATTCCCCAAACTTAATCTCTACTCCCCTACCGCCGCCTCGCCCCCAAACTCTCCACATTATTCGCATGCGCAAGCAAATACTTACAACACGTCAAAGTATACTTGCACGCCTTCGTCCAGCCCTCATCCTTATTCAACGCCAACTTGATACTCTGATCATGAATGCGATCTTTCTGTATCTCATACGGCATCTTGACGCCGCCTGGCGGTCCGCCTCCAGGCGCTGCTATACCCGCACCAACACCACCTGCAACGTGCGACGGCGCAGCAGCAGAGTTCTCCACAAACTCACCCAATTGCCTTAGACATTCCAAAAACGCAACCATAGCCGTATCGAACTTTCTATGCAGAAACCCAAAGTTTATGGGGAAGTCGCCGGAGGAGTAGAGTTCGAGTTTTTGTCTTGTTACTTGGGGTGAGTTGGCGCTTGTGGATTGGGGTTGGCGTGTTGATTCAGACACTGTGTTTCCAGTGACGCCTTTGGTCTCGATGCGGGTGATGGTGGATGTAGAGCCCATGGGACAGAGTTCGTAGCCGTCGAACTTGTAGTTTAGTCGGTCGGCTAGTGTGGCGAGGAGGAGACAGGTTTGGCCCCATGCGGCGTTGATTTCGGGCCAGTCGACGTACGGGTTTGGTAGGCGGCCGAGGCGGAGGCCGTTGATGGTGGCGAAGTGGTTGTCGTGGGTTATGTTGAAGGTGTCGTTGTACACACTTCTTCTTTGTAGCTGGTTCAAGATCTGCGCATCGTGCGCGTATCGCGTGGCTAGAGCGTCGCGGTCGTTTTGGATAGTGGTCAGGGTAGTGTTGAAGGCGTTTCTGCTCTTCCAGAACTCGCTTTCTTCTTGGTCGAGGATCCGGCTCTCGACTTCTAGGGCGGCGAGCTGGGCGTCTAGTTCGGCCTTTTCGGCTTCGAGGTTCTCGAGCTGCGTGATGGCGGTGCTTTCGGCTTTCTTGGCTGCTTTGAGGGCGGCTTCGGCGGCTTTGACTTCTTCGGCGCTGGGCACGTCGGTGTTGGCGCGGCGCAGGTAGTCGACGTATGCGTCGCGTTCGCGGGTTGCTACGCCTAATCGCTTCTGGAGGCCTTCGATGAGCAGCTCGGTACATTCTACGCAGATGGGGTGGTCGACGTCGGAGCGTGCTGATAGTATCTCGAACATGCGGTTTGTTGTTTCCAGTGTATCGGACAGACTCGCACCGCCCTGAAGGTTCAGCCCGTTCGAGAAGCTCTTCCGTCGTGTCTTGTCATTCGCGTTCGGCTTCGTCTCGCCTGCTTGTGGTTTCTGATCTGGGCTACGGACGGCTGAAGAGGGTGGGTCTATCATCGACTCGGACATGTGTACGTCGATGAAGGACATGGCGGGGTTCTGGGGGCCATTTGAGAGTCCCGAAGGCGGTGCGCCTTGGATGTTGCGCTTGAAGGTAGGGTTCCGGGCGTCTTTGGCCGCATCTTGATATGTCTTGAGGTGTTCGGGCGGGTTCGGAGGGCGCGACTGGCGGTTGGGGGAAATTCGTGGCGCCGGCTGCTGGCCTGATACTGTCGAGTCTAAAATATATTAGTCTGATGCGTGGCAGTCTGCAGAATAGATATGTACCAGTCAACAGCTTGAAGGCGGCCGGATTGAGCTGGTCGATGGAGGCGTCGATGTCTATGGGCGTGCGGCATTTTTGACAGGCCAACGCTGTCTGTTTCTTGTCGATGGCCATGTTGTCATGAGCTGTTGTTCTTCATGCTTGACGAGAGGTGGTCTATTCCAAGGCGCTGACGGAATGACGGTTGCGGTTCACTGGCGATCACCTGCATGCGGGTGGGGCTGCCGCTAAGTGTCGGGTGCCTGCCGAGGAAACCGCGTCGCGTCTCGCTGTTCGCGTCAATCACAGCATCGCAATCACAAACTGTCTTACACGCAAACGCCGACAACCCACACACCGACCCCTATTCTACACCGCCCTCACACTGTTTGAGACACATGCTTGCTGCTAAAGTGCGCGGCAACACGCGCCATGGAACCGCCGGCAAAGCGCATGCGCATACTGCACTCAGTCGAGGTCGACGAAGACAATGCCGAATACATCAAGGCCAAGCAGAAACAACAACAGAAGCTCAAAAGCCGATTTGAGTCTATATTTGAGAAGTTTGGAAATATGAATCCATCCCAAAGCGACGAAATCGACTTCAACACAAACCGGGTGGTTGTGGATAGAGGCCATCTGCGAAGAATAAAGCGTCAAAGCAATGGCAAAGAGAAGACATTACTGGAATCAATTGTTATGGGATCTGGGAGCCATTCGGAGGACGATGAAGATGATGACGAGGAGAAGGGAGAGGGGGAAGATTCGGAGGACGAACTGGCACCCCCGCAGCTGGTCAAGCCAAAGGCTGCTGGACCGCCTGAGCAAGACATAAACAAACAACAGACCGCAGCCACCGAGGCCAATGCGCCACAGCCCGCAATACCTCAGCACGACTTGCCAGCAACATCTATACCGCAATCCGGCGTTCCGCAAACGCCCAATCCTTCGAACCCCACCGCAGACCTCCTACGACATCTTCAGTTTCCACAAACACCTGCGGGACAGCAAGCACAAAGCGCTTTCCACGCAAGTCTACTGCAAACGATTCACCAAGCTGTCAACCAAGCCGTAGCTGGCCTTGTACTGCCAAACGCCTCGATACCCTTCGCAAACGCTGCCCCTCCGCCGATCACTCCAATAACAACAGATGACAAGGTAGCGCCTGCGACGGACCCGAAATGGTTCTTTCCACCTCTGTCTGCACAACCGCGCCAATGTCCAGTCGCCCAGTCGAGCCCTCTCCCAAGTTATACAACAGCACCGATAGCGAGCGAGATAGGCCAGTTTGCAGACAACATCTCAATAAAATTTGCTATTGGAGGATCTGCCGCCTCAATCCGTACAAGACCAGATGAAAGCTCACCAACGAGACCCCGTCGAACCAGTCCGCGTGTTGAGATCCAGAGGCGCATTTCCAAGACAGCGAGGAAATATCACTTTACTCACGAAGATGACGTGTACATAAGCAAGCGCAAGAGAATAGACGGTGTATCATGGGCGGTCATCAAAGACGGCCAACAAAAGTGGAAGGAGTGGCCAATGGCTGCACTTCACAATCGCTGGAATTTGATCAAGAATCAGAATCTTCACCTGCAAGAGCCTGCTGTAGCTCCTAAGGGTGGTAGCGTTGTTGGGGAGGATCAGGTCTCCAAGGAACACCATCCCGCCGTGTCGAAGCCGCCGCACCATCTGCCGACACCGGGTTCTTCCGAGCATGAAGACTATCACCGGAGCCTTGTCCAGTCGACAGAAGGTGACATTCCGGATTTGCAATCGTCGAGCACTCATTTTGATGACGATGACCGTGATCTATTATCCCTTGCTGGCGATGATTATGACGAGGAGCAACTCCCGATGAATGACGACGACAACGATACCCTTGTAGATGTATCCGGAGATGTGGTACTGCCGTCCATCGAGACGAGAGATTTGATCGATGAAGACACACTACAGAGCGACTTGCTTGCAGACTTACCAACGCAAGACGATATCGCAACACCAGTCCGGGAATCCTCCTGCATAGCAATAAAAGCCGAGCCTGCCTTCTCTTCGCCAACCACACTCCGAGTACGAAAGCATGCAACGCCACTCGCCGAAGTAATACCCGATTCGCAACAGACCGAAGATGACTTGCAGACTGATCTTGTCCTGCCGTCTCCTCAGAACATCGAAAACACATCCTCGGGAATTGCGAAGCCCGATGTAGTCCAACAATTGAAGGAGCAAAACGCGCATGTCGCCTCCCACCGGAAAAGCCCATCCCTCGACCTCATCGGCACCTCCACCGAAGACGAACTCCTCCCCTCCCCACCCAACCCAACAACTCCATGCCTAAACCGTATCCATGAACCAGCCACCCCGCAAACCGCTATCCCCTTCACCACCTACCAAACACCCAAGATCCGCAATGCCGACGGCAGCAGTGACAAAGACAGCAAATCCACATCGAAAGCCGACAGAAAGGCTTTTCACAAACGGATTAAGAGGGAGTGGACGAGGAAAGGTACGCCGGCGAAGGAGAGTGCGGCGAAGAGAAGAAGCCTAGGGGGTTTGGAAGTGAGGAAACGGAGGTGGGTGGGTATAGATGGAGAGGGGAGTGAGGATGAACTCGCTAAGTTTTGAGCGTGAGGAGAGAGGTATAGTAGCTAAAGCTGACAATGATGTTGTCTTGTCTATCTATATCGATGTCTATACGTACAAAATACAAATACACACTAAACTCTCTCGGAGATTGACCAGCTAGCATGGGTCTTACCATGTCATACCTCCACCTCCCCATCCCTCATTCGCATCCTGTCCCCACGTTCCCACTACTTCCTTCTCCTTCCTTTCCTTGTCTCCCTCCCAGCCTACTTCCTTAACAGCCGCACTCTTCGCCTTTATACTCGGATCTCTTGAATGCCGCTCAACCCACTGCTCTGTAAAGTCCTTCACCCGGCCATCGCCGTGCGCCTCCGTTTTCTCACTCGACCGTCTCTGTTTCGACTTCTGTTTCTCCTTGTCGATGCTCTTCTTACTGTGTTTCCTCTCCTTCTCGCCACTAGCACCAGCAACAGTAGTACTCTTCCCAACCTCTTTACCCTCCAACCTCCTCTCCAAAGCCAACATCTTCGCAATCAACTCCTCCTGCGGCACACTCTTCAACTTCTCTGCTTTCTCCTTCTCCGCATCCCCATCATGCTTCATGTCACCATCCCCAAGTACACCCAGTCCTTTCAGTACCCCCTCACTCCGATACTTGAACCGAAACACCGCATACGGCTTCTCCAAACGATCTAGATACTCAGGTCGCCCGACAACATGACCGTACTCTGTTGCCTTGCCTGCGCGCACGGCGTGTTCGATACCGCTTTTGCTGGACGTGGATTTGCTGATGGTGAGGCACGGTTCTGCGGGCGCAATGTACGTGTCGGTTGAGGAGGAGGCGTGGATCGGGGTTTTGGGTGTGGAGGTAGAAGGAGGAGGAGGGAATTGCCAGTGTGGTTGTGCCGTGAAGTTTGGCGTGGGTTTGGGATGGATGCGGGAGGGGAAGTTATGATTGGGTCGGTATCGAGAGAGGGTTTTGTTGCTCATGCGTTGGGTAGGTGATCTGCCCTTCTCCGGTGCCGGGGCTGGCGGTGCTGGAGCGGAGGCGGAGGGTGTAGGCGTTGGCTGTTGAAGAGCGGGCTTTACGGCGTTGTCGGCGGGAAAGCTCCATGATTGGGTTGGCCAGGGGGCTTCTGGTGCTGGTGCTGGGGCTGGTGGGTTGGCAAAAGCGGATGTCAAGGCGGATTTGAGACCGGCCCAGTCGTTCATCTTATCGACTCGCTCTTGTTTGGGGGAGGAAGGGGTGTTATCCCAACCGTTGTCTTTCCTATTCCAGTCACTGTCCGCCTGGATCTTCTTGTTGTCATCTGTATCGTTCCAGCCTGCAGCTTGATCTTCATCGGTTGAGTACCAACCCTTCTTGTCGTTCTCGTTGAGGTTCTTTTCTTGCCAACCGTTGTCAGTATCCTTGCCCCAGCCGAGATTCTTCTCAGTTGCCTTGCCCCAAGAAGGTTTTTCAGTGTGATCGTTCTTGTCGTTACCCCAAGACGCAAGCGAAGGTGGTCGGTTGCCTCCTAGTTCTTCACCAGCTGTACTCTGAACAAAGTCCTTCATCGACGGTGCATATGGGGCTGGGAACGTGTTACTTGGAACATTACTAGGCTTCCTCATCGTCTCATGCACAGCAGCGCCCCACTCTGGAGTAGCCATTATTGGGGCAGGCGGAGCAGCGTAAGCACTAGGATGCCGTGATCGTACTTGTTCCGGCGGAACAGAAGGGGGCGCATTCATCACTGTTGGTGTCATTCGCGTGATGACCGATGGCGCAGGCCCAGCGGCTGTAACTTCAGCCGCAGCCCTCGAAGACGGATGACGATGGGAATGCTTCGATGGCTTTCGCTCATGATCGCGCTGTACCGATCTGGAACGTCGAGAACGGCTCTTCGACCTCTGTCGTGAGGGCTGTACCCGGCTTCGAGAACGCGATGGCTGGAGAGTAGCGTCGGAGCTACTCAGCGAGACCACAGAGTCTGAAGGTCGTTCGAGACGATCCCAGCTTCCGGTGTCTTCTTCTGAAGAAGTGATTTCTCGATCTCGGCGTGAACGTCTTGACCGCGATTTTGAACGTGAACTTCGTTTCGTTTCGTGCTTCGAGCGCCGTCGGTCGTCTTTGGGAAGAGTAACTGGGGAGTGAGACCTCAGATGATAGTGACTGGGAGGATTAGTAACCCAGAGTTTCCCTTCTTGGCTGGAGGCGTCCCATTCAGCTGCCTTGTCGGTCGGCCAAGTATCTCCAGTGTCCCAGGCATCGGACGGGGTGTCTTCCCGCGCGTTCCATCCGTCAACATTGGAAGAGTCCGTCTCCAAAGCGTGCTCAGCGTTCCAGGTGACATGGGTTCCTGCTCTACTTCGTGAAGGCCGGTCGCCCCAGCCAGGCTGTGACTTGACCCAGTTTGAACCGTGCTCACTCTGGGGATTGCGTGAGGAGAAAGCCGGCTGCTCTATGTGTTGATATGGTTCTTTTGGAGCATCGAAAGGAGATTCGGGCCATACACCTGGTGGTTGACTTGCAGACTTCGCATCGGAATGTGTTTTCTTGTACTTCGGCTGCCCTTCTGATTGTGTGTCTATCCGTCGTGACTCTTCTACTCCCTGCTTGACAGCTGTCGTAAGAAGATGATTCAACCACATTGGATCCACAACAGAAGGTTGCACCGCTCCGACATGAGGAAGATGTGTGTTATATGGTTCTCCGTCACGCGGGATAGGACCGCTGCCATACTGAAAACCTGACGGGGGAAGGTCGTTGGTTCGCCGCGCCCCCGGACTGATAGGCTCCGAGTATCTGGAATGTGATCGCGAGTGATGCGAAATAGGTGCTGGAGGGAAGAGCTCCTGAGCTTCGTATGCAGTGCGATGAGTTCTCGATGTCGAGCCTTGCGGGCTACGTACCGTTTCGGCATATGGCGAGCGATAGGACGGGAGAGGCGGCGGTGGACCATGACCATTGCCGAAGCTGTTGAAGAATGGTCCACGGTCATCGTACATGGACCTCTCGTTAGATGGCGATGAGCTATCGTCTACGCCAAACCGGTGATCTGGGAAGTCTCCTGCCCCATCAAAGTTCATCGTTGAGGCAGACTTGGCATTGCGCGTACCGGCACATCGTAGAACGACGACTTCGATGCAGCCTATGTTGTCGAGAATGTTTGGCGAACAAATGTTCGGTGCATCGTCCGCTGAAGCTGTGAATAGTTAGCAGACCGCGGTTCCATGAAGTCCTCGCAACACATGCCAATGTTCAGTTTATCAAAAGCCCACTCCCTTGCAATCATCGACCCATCTTTCTGCCTCTCTTCCTTCTGCCTTACGCGAAAGTCGACAAGAGAGCGACTATCAGAAGGCTTACGTAGCTTCAAGTCCTGCCTATTGCGGTTGCACTGATAAACGCCGTCGACGTAGACGAAGATGGCGACGCCTGGAGCGATGAACTTATTGGAGGTGAGGTGGATAGAGAAAGACTGTGGCTTGCTGGGTACAGGGACGAAGGTCTCTACGAAACCGTCGCCGTATATAGTGCCGAACTCTTTTAATGCTTGTTGACTCCCGGATAGCTCAATGGCGCAATTGAGGTCTTTTAGTGAAGGCATGGTGGGATTGGCCTCCAGGACAGTTGTCGTAAGATCGCAGTAGGACGAAGAGTTGCCTGGAATGGGTAGCAGAGGTGCTAAGCTGTGGACGTGGTGTGTAAATTGAGCGCTGGTTGTCACAGCGACCGACGAGAGGTGAAGCGGTGGCGGAAGCTCAAAGAAAGCCAGTTGACTATGCACTCAGCCCGGGATTTACCGCATGCAGATCTCTCACATCATCTTCAGATGGACGTCTTGAAGAGGAAGACAGGAATTGATGTGCGAAATGTCCTAGGTGAAAGAACTTGTCATATATTTTACCTACAGACACCGCGGTGATGCGACATCGGCACCCGCCCACTCTACGAACACCCTACCTTCACGTTCCTCAGGCCACCGCATATAGCCATGGAAAACGTAGCTTAAATTCACGTGTGATCGAAGTGGTTCCGAAGCGCGCGCGGTCTCGTTGGCTGCGGACCCTGTGCCCTTTGCTGATGCGGTCAAACATGGACATGTCGTCGTGTACATATACAGTGCTGATATGTTCGGCATTTGCAGAATGTGCACGGAGATAGAGTGGGAAATTGAAGAGCATCAGTTCATTTTTTGTTCGTGGTGATTGACGGGTGGAGAAGGAAACGTCGGATGAGGATGCGATGACGGAAGTCGCGCGGGTCAAACGAGCAGGCACGACTATCAGCCCGATTGCTGCCCAAGCTATGCTTGTGCGCAGTGCATCACTTTTATCGACTCGTATCAGTATTAAAGTCACCAACACAATCACCAGCCAAAAGTGCAAGCGTAGTTATACATCTTCAACTTTCAATTTCCTCCCTTCCATACACCCATCATCAGGTATGAAGGAAGAGACTTTGCTTGCTAGCTAGCTACGCTCGGGGATATCAACAGAGGAAAAACCACCCTATTCACAGCCTTTAGTAATCCCGAATCCCTTTTTCTTGCCAAACAATGGAAAGCAGCCGTGACCCAGATAGAGAAATGACACTGTCTTCCAACGTCAGAGATGAGAGCTTTCCTCTTGCCAACCCTAGCCTAGCCCAGCCCAGGTACACCAGTACCGGTAAATTAGACTTTACGTACACATGAACTTCTTCGAGAGTCCAATCAAGATAAGGAAAAGGAAAGGAAATGGCGGCCCATGGGCACACCGCCCAAACGCACAATGGTATAAACAAAGGAAACGAATGGAAAACCGAACCCGGAGAGACGAAAAAAGGAAAGGTAGGTGGTACATCGACATGTCGAAGATATTCGATCAAAAAGGCGGTGGTCCAAAACAGGTAATGTCGCTGAAGCGCGGGGTGGCCAAAGTAAAGAGTAAGAGCGGCCAAGCCTATGCGCCGGGCAAAGGTGATTTCGTTAATATGGGGTATTCGAAAGGCAAAATGTTTTGACCTCCAAAGCATTATGCTTAAACCCAGACGCCGTGCGCGAGAAGAGATTGTGAAAGGAAAGGTTCGTGGACACATGTACAAGGCGAGATGGCGGTGGAATCAAGCCATAGGAGGGAGAGGTTCAGCCGCGCTCTTCTTGCGGCCGAAGATGGTGCGAGTCCTGCTTTTGTCGCGAGCCTTCTTGTCTTTGGAGTGGTCTTTGGTAGCGGACCGACCTGATCGGACCGACCGCTCATCCGAGGTGGTGGAGCCGTCGTCCATGTATTTGTCTTTGTAGATCCAGCTGTTGCCCACCATGCTGACGCCCTTGGCTTCGGCTGCGCGATAGAACTTGGCTGCCTTCTTCATGTTCTTCTTGCAGCCGACGCCTTCGGCATAACAGTAGCCGGCTTCGACGAGAGCATCGGCGTCGCCCCAGTTTCCAGCGATCTCGTAGCATCGCAGTGCGAGGGACTTGTCTTGAGGAGCACCCCAGCCGTTTCCGTAGCATTTGCCAAGCTCGTAGATGGCTACAGCGTATTGGGCGCGGTGGCGCTTCTTCTTGGTGAGGTCGGTCGGCTGCCCGTGCTTGGATTGGTCCTCATCGTCAGCTACTTCCAGCTGACCAGAGTCGACTGCGCGGCGTAGCCATTGCAATGCTTCGGACTTGTTCTCACGCATGCCCCAGCCGTGACGGCAAGCGAGACCGTACCAGAACATGGCTTCTGGAAGACCAGCGCGAGCTGCAAGACGAAGATGATAGGTAGACTTGAGTAGTTCACCAGCTTCATGAAGCTCCAGTCCCATGTCGCAGTGCTGTTGCGCTGTAACTTCTCCAACGGATCCGGCTGTCCTCGCGCGGATCGTGCTGTTGCTGGATGTGAGGGACGGGGTACCGTGGTCGAAGGAGGCATCCCGCCTGGCTTGTGGCTGTTGCTGACGTGTTTGGTCGAAAGAACGAGGCGGTGATTCGGGTGAAGGAGGTCGTGCCTGAGTCTGGTTAGGCTGGCCTCCGGGCTGGTCCCATTTGATCTCGCGTTTGAAAAAGTCCTCAATGCCGACAGACTTGCGGTCGACGGCCCTGCCGCGAGGGAGGTTGAACCTGGTGTATGTGTAGGACGGGGCTGGGTTGTTGCCGAACTCGCCGGACCGGCGGAAGTCCTCGCTTACCATACTGACGGGAGTGTGGACCTGCTCGTTGGCGTAGTGAGCAGTAGGGATATCGTTAGAGTCCTGTCGGCGGAGCTGGTCGTCGAAGGAGGGCCTCATGTTCACGCTCTCCTCGGACGGCTGTCGCGAGGGTCCAGCATCTGACCTTACATCCAATGACGGACGCACGCTCTGCCGGCTTGTGGGGCGTGAGAAGTTGGGTCTCGAGAAGTTGTAGGCAGGGCGCGGGAGACTGCCGCCATCGACCGAGTAGTTGGACGCAGCTGACGGTGATCGGGGGATCATGGTGGGACCGGTGGCAGGTGTGAAGGGAGACTGAGCTCTCGACAGGCTGGAGCTGGGAGACAGGTTGCGCGTTTGGTGCAGGGAGTCGTAGGATCCGCTGAGAGACATGTCCTCAACATCATCGTATGTGCCC